GACTGTGAATGTGGAGAACTGGGCGATTTAAGTCATGTGCTGTTTGATTGTGCTCTTCATTGGGAAAAATCACAACAGTTGTATGAGTCACTCATTAGTGCTAATTTTCCTTCGCCTCTGCATATTAATTCCATTTTATTTCACCGCACTCAGTAGGATTTTGCTGCTAGAATTGTTTGCCGATTTTTAGATGCATGTGGATTAAAACTTTGAATATTGTTTTCACATATTCTAATTCTTTCGTCCATTTTTTTTTCCTGTATAGCCGTCCAGTAGGATGATGGTATCACCCAGACCCTCTTTACGGAGGCATCCTTCATGGAAATAGTTTATTGCACACCACTACCGAGAAGCTGGCCGAATTGCCTTAGCAGCAGTGGCCAAATAAAGCGTAATTAAAAAAAAAAAAAACCTAAAAAGAAGTATACGTTAGATGACATGGTAGAACAGCCTGGCCCTAAAGTTTTACGGTTCTCTCCATATCACTACTTTTAACCTAATTGAAATTATTTGGGGAATTATAAAAACTATCGTAACCGACATATTGGTAGAGATGTTGTAAGAACTGTAACCTCTGAAATGTGGAAAAATTCCATTAAACATACAGGGAACAAGGCTTGGGATTATTCCACTCTAGTGATTCTAGTGATTTCAGTTACTCGAATATTATGATTGGCAAATGAGCAGTTGCAAACATCTACAAATTCATGCTTTAAAAAATTGTTTATAATCTCAGTAAAAAATGTTCACATTTTTACAATATCAAATATTTGGGAAAAGTGTGTATACTTTACTGTGTACTAATAAATAATATTCTACGGTTATGATAGTGTATCATTTGCTATACTTGTCCCAATGCAGCTATTTCTTAATTAGCTTGTGGTCATTCATCTCGTATGTCACAGGATTATATTTACTTAAAAATATTTAACACAACACTCAATCAATAAGATCTCTGAAGAATATACAGTTAGTGAAGAGTAAGAAGACCTCGGACAAAACAGGACAATAGACGCTGTTTTTATAGTCATACAAATTGCCGAGAAACAATTAACTACCCGTTATCGAGTCCAGGCTGCACGGGTACTGATACATCTGCCCGAAACGTTGTGTAAAGAAAAAAATAAGGACAGATTAAATGACGTATTAAAAATACTAAAAGAAGAAAAACAGCCCAGCAAAATGGTGAAGACTATTGAAGACATTAACACTAACAACAAAACCAAAATTAAAGTCGAAAATAAATTAGCATCAAATCTGGATTACTTCAGGTAGATAGGCTAAGCCCAATCTTATTAATTAAACTTAAATAGGCAGGACACGGATACGGGCTCGGGAGAAAACAAATAAACATCCTGCAGACGATGCAGTCTTGATCTCACATAATGGAGATGACCTGCAGTGTCTGGTAACTCTTTAAAGCAGTGGCAAAAATCTACAATGTGCAGACATCTAAAACCACGTTTTAAGTAGTCGTAATGGAACCCAGACAATACAAAATCATAATTAATGATGAAATAATAGACCAGGTTCGAATATCTGGGAACAGAAAGATCCAGCTAGGTGGACCTAAAAGAAAGTGTATAGAAGCAGACAAATAAAGCAGCCTATGTTTAAAGTTTTCTGAGTGATGTTATTTGGAGAAACACAGATATGAGATTGGACGGGAAAGTTTGTATACAGGGTGTTTTCTAATTCAATTTTAATAGTTAAGGGGGCGATTTTAAAAAGAAAACATATGAACGTATGTTTTAAACGTCTTAACTTTTGAGATACAGGATGGTAAAATTTTCAAAAATAAAATATATTTTTTTAATATTTGTAATGCCAGATATTTTAAGGAAATTTGGCATATATACTATGTGTCAAGAGGCAATATTTAGTGTAACACAATATTTTTTAAATACGATAGTCGCGGGTGTAAGGAACATCACATGTCTATTTTGGTCGACATTATTAGTACGCAATCTCCAATAATTTGTAAAGATATTTAATTCCTTGAGTTTTTTCGATCCGATGTACCTAGGTTTCCTCTTAAAAAAAATTAAATCTCTTTTCTGCATGGTCATAACAATATCGTTAATATGACAGCTTGCAGATATATTAGTTTTTATTATTAAATGAAATCCGTGCGACCGACGAAAAAATTAGGAGATCCAATCTGCGTATAAATGAATGCTGAAGTCAGTCACGTGCCACTGACTGAACGAATAATATTATGGTTAATTAGGTCGGCACTGCATTGCTTAAATCGAGAACTTTTTGTGAAAAATAAAATATCTATCTAAATCAAAATATCTAGTTTTAACACAGTGTTCGAAGTGTTTTCGGAGCGCGAGCATTGAAGATGCCAAGTGAGATTTTGGCGAAACGTCTGCGGGATTCCAGTCGGATGCAGGATTTGCAGGATTCCAGTCGGATGCAGGATTCCAGTCGGAGTTCAACGAGCGAACGGATGATATCCCGGAATATAGTGTCATCATATATATATATATATATATATATATATATATATATATATATATATATATATATATATATATATATATATATATATATATATATATATATATATATATATATATATATATATATATATATATATATATATATTCTCACGTATTGATTCACGGATGGAAAAATGTGATGACACTATACTCCGGGATATCATCCGTTCGCTCGTTGAACTCCGACTGGAATCCTGCAAATCCTGCATCCGACTGGAATCCTGCAGACGTTTCGCCAAGATGCCAAGTGAGATATAGTGTCATCATATATATATATATATATATATATATATATATATATATATATATATATATATATATATATATATATATATATATATATATATATATATATATATATATATATATATATATATATATATATATATATATATATATATATATATATATATATGATGACACTATATTCCGGGATATCATCCGTTCGCTCGTTGAACTCCGACTGGAATCCTGCAAATCTTGCATCCGACTGGAATCCTGCAGACGTTTCGCCAAAATCTCACTTGGCATCTTCAATGCTCGCGCTCCGAAAACACTTCGAACACTGGGAGGTTATCGGCGGTGCGTGCGGTATTTATACTCTGCGCCGGAGATGGTAACGGTGCTGCTTGTGCGTGGGGGGAGGTGGCTCCGCCCCCTGAATTGTCGCGTTGTTAGTTTCGCCCGATCGTAGTTGCGATGTCCCCGTTGGCTGCTGCGCATCGCTCTGCTGTTTGATTATCGTTCTCCACGTGTTGGATAAATGCAGAGCGTCGTCTCTCGTATTGAGGTGTCCGGACTTTTCTATTTCGATGGCCTCTCGTATAATCCTAGTCCTAAAATCAGGAATATTAGCTATTTGTTTGCAAGTGCCGAAATCAATTTTATGGCCTGTCTGATGTTGGTGCTGAAACAAAGCAGATGTTGTTTGTTTGTTTCTTATGGCTAAACGATGTTCCTCGAGCCTGGCTGAAATCCTTCTGTTGGTCTGTCCCACATACGTCAGGCTGCACGATCCGCATGCTACACTGTATACTCCTTGGTTTTCCAGAGTAATTTTTTGTTTTGGGTTTCTTAGTATTGCTCCGATGGTATGGTCAGGTTTGTATGCCGTTGATATGTCGTGTTTCCGTAATATTCGGCCGATTTTGTCAGTAACCCCCTTGATGTATGGCAGGACAGCGATCGATCTTCGTTGGGTCTCGTCCTGCACTCTCTGCTGCGGCTGTTGTTGTTTACCGATTGCCTTGCTGATGGTGCGCCTTTGGTATCCGTTTTGTTGAAGACAGGTACTAATTTTCTTCAGTTCTTTATCTCTGTTCCTCTCGTTTGTGAGCCTGAAGGACCGAGCAATTAATGTATTTGCCACTGCCTGAATCTGTGATGGGTGGTGATGAGATTTAGCGTTCAGATATCTATTAGTGTGTGTTGGTTTTCTATAGACAGTGTGTTCCAAGTGTCCATCTTCGGTCCTTGTGATGTGCACATCTAAAAAGGGCAGACTGTTATCCTCTTCAAGTTCTATTGTAAATTGAATCCTTGGGTGAATGGAATTCAGATGATCTAGGAATTTCAAAAGCTCCTCCTTGCCAAAAGGCCATACAACAAATACGTCATCAACGTATCTTGTCCATAGTTTTGGCTTCAGATTTGCCTTCTCTATTGCTTTCTTTTCGAAGTAAATCATGAAGAGGTTGGCAATCACAGGTGAGAGAGATGATCCCATTGCTGCTCCATCTATTTGTCGGTAAATTTTCCCGTTGTGCATAAAGTAAGCGTTTTTCAGGCAATGTCTTGACAGATCCATTATGTATGGCGGAAGATCTTCGTTTTCTTCTATAAGCAAGAGTGCCTCTTCTACTGGAATACTCGGGTAGAGGGATTTGACATCGAAACTTGCCATAATGTCGTCCTTGTCCATCCTGAGAGAACCTAAAATCTGAGTAAAATGTTCTGAGTTTTTAACATAGGAATCTGCCTTTTCCACTATAGGCTGAAGTGCACTGGCCAGATGTTTGTCCAGCTTGCATAATGGTGAGTTAAAGGCGCTTACGATTGGACGCAGGGGAACCCCGTCCTTATGGATCTTTGGGAGCCCGTAGAATTTTGGGCAACGACTCGATTTTTCCCTCGGAATAAGTTTCTTCTTTGTATACATATATATATATATATATATATATATATATATATATATATATATATATATATATATATATATATATATATATATATATATATATATATATATATATATATATATATATATATATATATATATATATATATATATATATATATATATATATATATATATATATATATATATATATATATATATATATATATATATATATATATATATATATATATATACCACCTTACACACTTTAAGTTAATCTCCACGAATACAAAATGGAGATGAGTACCGAAGCTTATCTATTTTTCATTGTTATTCGTCATCGGCAGAATATTAGATTAGTTCTGATTTCGCATATGAGTTTGACAAATCGTAGTTGCCGTCAAACGACATTATTCCGATTGACGAAATGATCAACGACAAAAGTAAGCAGTTTTAATTTTCTATTTTCATTTTTTGAACATTTTTTATTATTTAAGTAATTAACAAATCAATAAAACTTTCACTGATTCTAAAATATTAAAGCAGTACTTTGCATCCAGCAATAAAGAATTCAGTATAGCAAGTATATAAGTAGTTCAATTTATATTAAATGGGGGTGTACCAAAAGAAATTTAATTAGATTTTTTTTAAATTTGGCGCATTTATAGCGTTTGCCAATATCTTTTTTCGATATTTTTAAAGGTAAATGTAAACGTTTCGAATATTCGCAAAATCATTTGGCGTTTAGTGGTAATACTATGTTTTATCATAGGTGCTGAAAAAGCTGAAAGTCCTGGAAATTCCGAATTTTCCGACGAGGATGAGCCAAAGGACAAATTTTGCTTAGTTGTAATTACGCTATTCGTCTTAGGAATAGTCACCGCCTTGCCAGGACTGTTTATAGCCAACGCAAATGAGGTAAAATATTTTATCCTTGTACCAAATTTTTCTTTTCATTGGATAGGGCAACGTGAGTTATTAATTTTCCGAATAGGCATAATGTTGTAGAAAAAAATAAATAAGAACTAAAAGTTCAGATTTTCACGAAATTTGAAGAAGCTGAAATTGGTTTCTTGGCTATTTGGTATTTTAAATTGCTTCTAAATTTCGTGAAAATCTGAACTTTTAGTTCTTATTTATTTTGATAAATGGATTTTCATCAAGTAAAAGCCACCTCAGTTCAACAATGTTGTAGCCCGGTCCAGCAGTCTCTTATTTTAGGACTCGTGGGCTGTTTGCGTTGATAAATGGGTGGACCGTATTTTGGAGTCAACGATGGAGTAGAGTTTTGTTTTTAAATTTTGAAACTAATGGTATTTCCAATATTTTAATTCTTCTAAAAAAATACTAGTTTTCATAGTTGCACTTATATTTGATATTAGCGTTATTAGCAACGGAATTTGCTTTTTATCTGCAGGGTGTTCAAAATAAATGAATATATTTGGAACATTTTAAATTGAAGAAATCTAGATTTTCTTAAATGGTACACCATGTATATTATATTTTTTCTAACAGATCTTACAAAAAGTTACAATTCTTATTAAGTGTGTCATATACTTATTATTAATATTTTGTGATTTATTTTAACTTTCCCTTCTTTCTGTGTAAGATTATTGCTATAATATTAAGTGACCATGACAAAACTACTAGCTAACAGTGCTCTTTTAAGATTAAAAAATAAATAGGAGAATGGACTTTTTTGTAGCCGTACATAAAGCAACAGCGTTATTAAAAAATTTGTTGAAAATGACGGTCAAGTTTTCAACTGAGAGTAGATATTGTTTAATACCTAAATTAACTTATTTTTTTATTATTTTTTATGGCACGATAAATGTTCAAAAATATGGCCTTCTACTTGGATACACGTGTTTAGTCTTTTTAGTATATTTTCTAGGACGGTCCTTAGCTGCACACGTCCCGAATCCTAATTTGCATATATTCTGGTGTTGTAGCGGGATTGATATAAATACGATCTTTAACATATCCCACAAAAACAAATCTAGTGATCGAACGGCCACTTCTACCGATCCATTTCTGAGGATAATGACTATTTGAAAATTCTCGAATTTATCGATGGTGATGCGGTGGAGCTCCATCTTCCTGAAACGACATTTGTTGGATCTGAGAAGAGAAGGAGAAGTTGAGGTAAATCGTTCTGCAACAAATTTTAATATCTTGGCCTGTTAAGTGGTTTGCTAAAATATGGTCCAATAATTTTAAAGTGTTTTATTCCACACCAAACTTTGAGTGATCCATGGAAGAATGGACTAAGTGTTGAATAATAGTCCATGATATGATGATTATCTGCACCATTTCGGCGAAAAGTAGCTCCTTCCGAAAACATTATTTTAGAGAACAAATTTAGATCGCCCTCTATTGCTTCTTTTATATAATGGTGCAGAAGTTAAGCTGTGCTCAAAATCACTGTCTAGAAGTTCTTGGCGTAGTTCAATATAGAAGGGATGATATTTCTGTTTTATAGTGGTGAGACTAACTTGAACTTGAAGTAAAATTCTTTTTCCTCATTGGTAGCATTCTGGATTACCACTTTCCGTTTTTCATATTCCATACTTCTACTAGCGTCAAACCGTTCCATTATACACTGAAGAGGTTGTCTATTAGGGTATTTCCCCTTGTAAAGTCTAACTGCCAACAAAGTATCTTGCGCATCACCCAGTATATAATCGATACTACTACTACTATTAAAAACTAATATTTTTTGAGAAAAATAAAATATTGGAAAGACTATTAGGTTTAGGTATGTATTATTAATAATAAAAAAGTTGAAGGATTTTAAAAGGAATTCAAAACAATATTAAAAAAGTGTATGTTTTATTCGTCCCGATTTTTTGAGCCACCCTGTGTACTTTAAAATATTTTGAAATTGTGCCTTCTACCAATCTTTACAAGTGTTCTATTCACTATTTTCTCATAACTTTTAAAACCAAAGAGATAATGAACGTTATTCTATCGTTAGCATACCCTGTACAAAATGTCAATGGAATGTCCAGGAACACCCTGTATAATTAAATCTTCTTGAAAAGTGCGAGATGGTAGCAATCGATCGGCAATGTGTCACGTTCAGCCTGAGAATGGAAATGATCATTTTTATTGTTTGTTGATGGAAATTTGCGTTAACAATGAAATGAAAAATTTATTACTTGGTAGTATTGGATGTACAAACTTCGAAACACCGCACTGGAGAAGGACATCCCTAGCAACCGCACGTTTATACAGAAGAACTTCGGAACCTTCCAGTCGTTTGCCGTTATAGGTCCGTTGATGATCATGTTTTTATTCACCACATTTGCCGGACACAAAATTAAATCGCAAACGAAAGCTTTCATCTTCTTGGGGCCCATTACGCTGACGTTTATGGCCCACGCCATAGTGGTCCATCTAAACACGGACAATTGTAAGTAAGAGCAACAACTATATGTTATACAGTGTGTGGGATTTAAGACGAAAACACCGCTATATTTTCGCTATCTAAAATGAAGTTTTGCACAGTGATACCGGTTCAGAGTTTAAATTTTTTAGCAGGGTCAATTTTCGATATTTTGCTTCGCGTTAGAGATATCGGAAAAAGTTATATAAAAAAAAAATCGGGACAAATTTCGCATTTTTAGTCTTTCATTATTAATTGTTGATTTTTTTATTTGGGAAATTGCTCTGCCATGGAAAGAAAAACCTCTACAATATGGTCAATTTTATTTTGTAACATCAATAACATTAACATCAGGGTACAATATTTTAATTAAAAAAAAATAATAATAAATTTAGTCAATGTCGTCTCGCACGACTAGTCCTCTGTTTATTCGGACACACTTTTCAATTCTTGTCGGCTTGTCTTATTCTGGCACAAAATTTTCTGGACCTTATTCTACAAACTGTATTTTTTATCACTTCCCAAAAATAAAAATCAAGTAGTTTGATATCAGGGGACCTCGTAGGCCAGGGTTCAAGAGGACTGTTTCTTCCTATCCAGCACATAGGTTTAATCCTCGAATTGAAATGGATGCACCACCTAGCTAGAAATAATAAAGAATGAAATACTTATTATTTAATCTGCCAAATTCCCACACCAGACATTGGCTTTTTGATATATTGATCTTTACAATTTATAACCCAGTGGACGCTATCTGTGGTCATCATTGGTGGCTCATCGGCAAACATAATATTCTTCAAAAATGGCCTGTCATTTAAAAAATTACCTTGGTACCAATAACAATAATCTAATCCTAATCCCCAATGTAATAAACTGAAAGTGTAATTTGATTGACATTAATGATTTCACAAGTGTCAAATAAAAAATAAACTTAACTTAATAATAATTTTTTCTATTCCCTTCTATAAATTACCTAATTATACGCCGATCTAGCGTGCGGGAAGCGTCACATTACCACGTGAGTTTTTTGTTCCGAATTTGGGAGCAATATGATATTTTCAAAGATTTTACCGCATAACTTGAATTTTGCGTTTGTCAATGAATGTATTGGTGTGATTTTGCAAAAATGTCGTCACTCGTTTATTAAAGACTCGCTCCACTGCGCTCCGCTCGTGCCAAATAAACTCGTGACTCAAATACCGTTTAGCGCACTTGTTGCGGAATATAATATACTAATTTTCTACTCCCGCCTGTTTTTACCTAATTACACACAGATCAAGCGTGCGGGGAATGTCACTTTACCACATCAGTTTCGTTTCCCACGGACGCCTTAAATTTTGACGTTTGTAAATTCTGACGGTCATATCAGCGAATGTGTTCGTGTTGTTTTGCATTAATATACTATTGTGTAGGTTTTGGTTAAAATAATGAAAAAACTAACTAAAAAAAGCGAATTTCGTCATGAAATTTGGTATGTGGGATTAGAATAATATTCCGAACAACTTTTTCCGATTGTAGTAGTAGTAGTAGATGGTGTTTAAAATTGTCTGTAATTATTTAGATAGCCAAAATATTATCAAATCTTCTTAAATGCGATACGTTGTATATGGAATCTGAAAATGGATAAATGAAAATATTAATAGTATATTATGCAACAAGTGCGGTAAACGGCATTTGACTTACTAGTTTTTAATAAACGAGTGAGTTAAAAAGTTTGCATACTATACTTTTTCTATGACAGTTAGTTTTTGGGTAGATTTTCGCAAAACAACACAAATACATTCACTGACATGACCGTCAGAATTGACAAAAGTCAAAATTCAAAGCGGGGGAAATATCTCCGAAAACATCCGATTGCTCCGAAATCTGTGTGGTAAAATCCCGGAAATGTCCGAAGTGGCTCGGTTTCATAGGAAACGTGGTAAAGTGACGCTTCCCGCGCGGTAGAGGGGTGAGTAACTAGGTATTTTACAGACGGGAGTAAAAAAATATGTTTTTGGACATTTTGGCAAAATCGTCCTGTTTTTTCAGAAATACATCTTGATTCTTGATCAGAACCGACGAAGGATACTAATCCTATAAAATACTTCAAAGGGACAATCAGAATAATAAAAATCAGATGTACGTTGCATAAATTTTATGTTATGACAATTTAATTACATAAAATATATTACATTACATCATTCATAATACATGATTCTAATATGGTGTTGGTGTACTGGGTGTATGAAATAAGGTGTCTTACCCTACTAACTGAGAGACTACGAACGATAGATTAAAAAAGATAAATGCAGTTCATTTCATCTGATACCAGATTTATTATTTTATAAGGAACAAAAACTAGTTAAAATGAAATAAAGACCACATGTGAAGAGTTCGATTATTTAATAAAGAGTGTACGTGGATGTCATTGTTTTCTGCGCGAACGTGAGTTGTCACTCTCTCATCTGTCTTTCTCAAGCAATGGTAATTTGCTTTACCAGTGGCGTGACGCGTAAGAGGATATATTAAGACGTTAATAATTATACGAATAAAAACGCAAGCATCAAATTAATAAATTTATTGTAGTTGTAAATTTGTCGTTAGGAATAAAACCCAAATTATCTTTTTTTGAAGTTTTTATTTATTTATTTAGTAAGTAAATACAATAATAAATAAAGCAAGTAAAAGATAAAATAAAGTCTTCACAGGACAAAACAAATTCGGATGTATTTTTATTCGGAATCTGATAGAACAGTACCCTGAATACTGCTACCATTCATGGTCTCTTTGTATGAGTTCTTCTTCATGTTTTTTCACATGTTTGCAAATTAAGGCCCATTCCTCAACAGTAACTTCTGAAATTGTTTCCCTTTCGGCAAGTTTTACATCTGGCAACTTAAATGCGATATTTCTACTTGTCACCCAATTTTTATTCTATGGGATTCAATTCGGGATGGTAAGTGGCAATCGCAGAACTTTATGCCCGTGTTTTTTTCTAATAACCCATCCAGTTTGTACTTGATTGGAAATCTAAATTTATTTTCTTGAATTATCTCACAATCTTCAGGTTTTTGTTAATTTTTCAATTACTGGTATATTTCTTTCCTTCAACCACTCAACTAATTCAAATTTTCTGCTTGCACTAGTCACGTTCTTTTTTACAGGCACGTTGTGATATACTATTCTCACAACTGATTTTGGAAGCAAATTAGGCCATAACTCTTTCTTCACTCATGTCATAAAATTTTTATTGTTCGTTTCATCGTGATAATCTTTGGATTTAGTTTCTAAAAATGATTAAATATAATTCCAACCCAGGAGCTTCATATTGAAGAAGCTTTTATTTAAAATAAGATAGCAATCAACTACCGATGGTTATCAAAGTATGAAATTATTTTTGAATCACCCTAAATACATGTTCTCTTTTTTGTGCTTTAAATTTTATTCTGTTTTAAAGAAAATATAACCATATATATATATGTATATATATATATATATATATATATATATATATATATATATATATATATATATATATATATATATATATATATATATATATATATATATTCTCACGTATTGATTCACGGATGGAAAAATGTGATGACACTATATTCCGGGATATCATCCGTTCGCTCGTTGAACTCCGACTGGAATCCTGCATCCGACTGGAATCCTGCAAATCCTGCATCCGACTGGAATCCCGCAGACGTTTCGCCAAAATCTCACTTGGCATCTTCAATGCTCGCGCTCCGAAATGCAGGATGCAGGATTCCAGTCGGATGCAGGATTCCAGTCGGAGTTCAACGAGCGAACGGATGATATCCCGGAATATAGTGTCATCATATATATATATATATACATATATATATATATATATATATATATATATATATATATATATATATATATATATATATATATATATATATATATATATATATATATATATATATATATATATATATATATATATATATATATATATATATATATATTCCGGGATATCATCCGTTCGCTTGTTGAACTCCGACTGGAATCCTGCAGACGTTTCGCCAAAATATCACTTGGCATCTTCAATGCTCGCGCTCCGAAAACACTTCGAACACAGTTGTTCGAACACAGTTGTTCGAAGTGTTTTCGGAGCGCGAGCATTGAAGATGCCAAGTGAGATTTTGGCGAAACGTCTGCAGAATTCCAGTCGGATGCAGGATTCCAGTCAGAGTTCAACAAGCGAACGGATGATATCCCGGAATATAGTGTCATCAAATTTTTCAATCCGTGAATCAATACGTGAATATATATATATATATATATATATATATATATATATATATATATATATATATATATATATATATATATATATATATATATATATATATATATACATATATATATATATATATATATATATATATATATATATATATATATATATATATATATATATATATATTATTACATGATATCTTTACTTTTTAATTATTTTTACAAATTAATAAATTTAGCAAATAAACAAAGAAAAGCCCAAAAAGGTTTATTCAAAAAATTCACGCAATAAATTTACAGAAAATATTTTATTTTTTTGATTCACACAAAACATAAGAGAAAAAAGCTTTTAGCTAACTAACTACCGAATTGAAACGCATTTCTTTTTTTTTCAAATAAAATTAAGGAATTAATTTATCTTATCGAACGACGTAACATATTCAAAATTTTTGGAACCAAAAAGAGAAAGATTTTTCATCCTATAAATTTTTGAGTTTATGGGAGAATCACAGCTCTCACGTTAAGTTAAGTATCCCGGTTTATTACCTATGATTTTTGTGTTTTTTTGCAATATTTCCAGTTGCAGAATGTGGATGTTTCTTATATTTCTCCAACCAACTACTCCATATTGAACAATCGACTGAACTAGTGCAAAATACATTATTTTTAAATGTTTTCACACAGAAACTTCTAAAATGAATATCTATATAACAGTCTCCTGAATTTTTCTATAACTTTGTTAACGTGGATGTTCCACCTTAAAAAGAGTTTATGTGTTCGCCTAAATACTTAATTGTATTTGTTAGTTCTACAGAATTGCTTATTTTTCTTGACTTGTATGGGGGTGAGAATTTTCCATATGATACATGATACGAAGGGAACTATTAGCGTTTTAGGTATATTCAAAATGTTCCGTATATGTCTATTTGTAATGTCCTTAACTTCGTCCCAAGCGCACACTTCGTTCGTCGCTTTTTGTATCTTTTATTTGCACGTGCAATCATCTATTAGTTAAGAAATTTGCAACTAAATTAAGTCCAATGTCTCTTATTCGCATGTACTCAGTGAAACAGCACTTTATTTGCAATTTGCAAACCATATGAAATATTTACGTCAGACGTAAAAACTAATATAAATCTACTAATCTTATAACTAAAAAAAAGAAAGAACGGATGACTTGTTAGTACGGATAACTGGACGCCAACCGAAATTGCCTATGTATCTCCCGGAGACCATTATGATATAAATCACAGTGCGATGCTAGTTTGTCGAAGGTAACACACATATTGTATATAGGTTTTTTAAAAATCAATATTGGATCCAGGTAACTGCGGTGAAGAAAGTTGATTGCACGAGCCAATAGCAATATCGACGTCTTCAGCCACATCTCGAATTGTGATTCGACGATTCTTTAACGCCATTTGTTTCACTTCTTTAATGCCTTCATCAGTTATTGACGTGCTGGGGCGACCACAGCGAGGTCAGCGTCTTCTGGACTATCTTGGAACAGCTTCTACCCCTTATAAACATTTTTTTTGCTCAATGTAGATTCACCATATGCCACTGTCAATATTTCAAATGTTTTGCAGCACTGTATTCTATTTGAGCCGGTCAAAGTCACCTTACTTTTTGAACACACCTCGCATATAGCTTCTATATCATGGCAAAACTAATAGTAAAATGTTAAATTGATAATTATTTCGGAAGCTATTAATGTTCACGGTATACAAAGTCACCTGAATTTTTGGTGACAAATTAGAATAATAGAAGTCTTTAAATTTAAAAAAAAATCTTTTTTGCGTTTTTCATAATTTTATATTTTTATTTCATTTTTGCTCACACTGAATTAATGTTGTCAGATTTAGCAATTTTACGTAAGACGTAATATTTGTTCAAATTTAAATGAAATTCCGTATCTATATTTGTTGTAATGAATTGCGCACGTCGAACTTAAAAAAAAATTCTTTCTATTAATTGCTGAGCTACGGCAGCACCGCTTGTTTAGTAAATAATAACTGAACACTGAAATATATCAACACTGCCAAAGTTGGAAAGAAAAAAATCAATACCTGGGCGTCTTTGAATATGTTAGCAACAGTGTTGTCAGATTTACCACTGTTAATATTAATTAATTCTTAACAACTCAGAATTTTCGAACTTTATGAACATAGGAAATTTTAGACAAGTATCAGTGAAATATTAGCAGAATTATAAATACCGCGGAATCTGACATTGCTGTAACGTTTGTGACCTCAATGCTTTCAAAATTTTGAGAAGTCGATTTAAGCGTCTCATTCGAAGGGATTTTAGAAGCTATGTGGAATACATTGAAAATGACATTCCTTACAATCACAAAAAGTTTTAGCAACCTGCGTCAGTTAAAAGTTACGCCTAAGATCATTAATAATAAATAGGAAATATGTGAGCTTTCTGAGATATGTAATTTGTTTGGGAAGTTCTCTGACAGCGCATTTGTTGCGCATTGGACACGGACCGCCAGCGCATACTGAGTGCAACGGCGCCTTAAGAGGCCTTTTTCTTAGCAAAAGTGAAGTACTCGAAGTACTCCACGTGCTGGATCCTAAAGGACAGTTCAGTGGTTTAGTGGTGTCTTTCCAAGAATATGGAAGCTTTCGGATATCGTTCCGGTTTATAAAAACGGTCAAAAAAATACTGTTAATAATTATCGCCCAATTAGTAAGCTTTGTGTATTTGCTAAAATTTTGCTTGTTTTTGCATGTTTTTTTTTTCAAATCGTTAAATTGACAGCAACCTAGTTACGTATACCAAGTAAAGTTGACCGTTGTCAGCAAGGCTTTTGATGAGATAGATCATAAGCTGCTGCTAGTTAAATTGTTTGAGGTCAGTGTCGACGGGATATTATTGGAATGGGCTGAGTCGTTTCTGATGGGTAGTTTTAATGTTTTAAAGTCCCAATCAATGGTCAATACACTTTGCCACCTCTGGCGTCCCTCAAGGTTCTCATTTGGGGACCGTGTTTTTTATAATTTACATTAATGATGTAAGGAAATGTTTTCTGCATAGCAAATTTTCAGAAAATTTTTTACTCCTTCTGACTGCATAAAGGTACAGGAAGATATTCAGCGCTTTGGATCGTACTGCAAGAATAATGGTCTCTATATAAACATCGAAAAATGCTGTGTTATATCTTTTACTACAAGTCGGGTACCTATTCCGTTCAACTACACTGTCAATAATAGCACTCTGAAAAGAGTAACAGAAGTGAGCAATCTCGGAGTGATATTAGACAAGAGGCTAATATGTGTTATCTTAGCCTGTAGCATGCGTATGTTCATTCTAGGATAAATTTTGCTTTTCATTTTTAGCTCTAGGTATAATGTACACAAAAAATTTACGGAGGAAATGTTTGAAATGCCTCTCTTACAAAGAAAATATTAACAACTTAACAACATAAGATTTAAACGACCTAAGTATTCATTATTAACTCTTAACATTGAAGGATGGAAGAGTAGTTACTAATATTATTTTCTTGCATACAATTTTAAATGTTCCTGCCGACTCCTCTGAGATATTGGCAATAATTCCATTTAATATGGCACCTGGACAATTTAGAACCAGACCTTTATTTACTATTCCCTTTAGAAACACCAATAACTCACATTTCTTCACGATCTCACATGATTCCTTAAAGAAGACTAACACTAACCGTTAGACTACTGGATCGACATTCCTTATCTGATTCATAATCTTATCTTGGTTTTACCTATTTAAAGTATACCAAATAATAAATAACTTTTTTTTTCTATGATAAGATTGGCGGATCTCATGCCCGTTTCAATATGAAATATTGAAGGTAATGGAGCTATTAATCAGCAGACAATATACGATCAAAATTTTATAATCTGATTCCTACGCTTATATGACGTTACCTAAAGTAATGAAAATATTTTCTAGGGTAGAAAAAAAACCTATATTTTAGACAACTTCTCCGCGTTTGCTTGGTGTAATTAATTTTTAATTTTTAGCTCTTAATCGAGTGTTACTAACCAATGAATTAATTAATTTTTAGTTCGACACATTCAAGTTTATTAAACCCATATTTCCAGATTTCTTAATACTGCAATAATATAATTTGGAAATAAAAAAAGAAATGAAATAATCAAATTTAAAAACATAATCATCTGCAGATAGTAAATCAATTATTTTCAGGGCAGCTGGCATTTTTTTTGTTCACATTCGTCTCGTTGATCATTATCAGCGGTAAGTCACTTCTTATGTGCTGAATCTCAAAACCTACACCCAGATTTTTTTCAGTCACTACTGGATTTGGGGCCCTCGGCTGCTTAACTTTGGTCTCCTCCTTTCCCATCAATTACACTAAGTGCTTTTTGGTCGGACAGGGCTTTTCTGGAATATTCACTTCTGTGATTCGCATAATTTCTATCGCGTCTTCGCCATCTACGCTGGATTCTGCTTTCATATATTTCGTCACCGGAACCATCATCATGGGCGTGGCCACCGTATTATACTCTCTGACCACCATAACCCCTTTTTACAAGCACTACGCGAATCAGACCAAGCACGAATCGAAGAAAAAGATCAATTCCATCCCGGAAATTTCGCAGATGATAGTGGTCATTTGGAGAATTCTCCTTTTAACTTTAATAATGCCACTGTTTCCTCTGGGATCGGTCGCCAATTTAGTGGTTTCGGAGTATAAAGATACCGGAAGCACATGGGGCGGTTAGTATCGAATATTTCATGGGAAGCGAATCAAATCCTTTTTTTTAGACAGGTATTTTGTGACGATAGCAACGTATCTGACGCAAGCGGTATGCGATATTATCGGTAAAACGCTCGCAACTCTCATTGACAAGGTAAGATTCTGTCGTGTCACACACAAAAGGAAGAAAAAGAAGTTCTCATTTTGAAGAAAAAATGCTTTGTATATTTGCTTTATAATGGTTATTGACAAAATAATATTAAATTGTAAACGGCAAGCAAGAGCAGAATGATGTGAGGTAGATACTTTCTCTCTCTCTCTCTCTCTCTCTCTCTCTCTCTCTCTCTCTCTCTCTCTCTCTCTCTCTCTCTCTCTCTCTCTCTCTCCTCTCTTTTAAACGTTAAATTTGAAGAACATGGGAAACACATAATAAGGGTTGAAATCCGGCATAACAACCTCACATTTGACTGCACCCGACTCCGTCACGGGTAAAGAGTGTAGTCTAGTATACCGGGTGTTTCAAATCGACTCCCACCACTAGAATCTCTTGATAGGTAGGAAATACAATGTGACATGAATTAGGGTAATCGCATCAAGGGCAAGCGCATCGGTGAGTTTAGTAATGTTCCGTTTTGAAATTGAAGTTATTTTTGTTACTTCCCGAAATATGGCGGCAAATCTGAAACTACCGTTTTTCGTTTTTATAATTTGCCTTTATTTTAAAAATGAAAAAAATCTATAAATACATTCTTATTGGAACTTTTTATTCTTCCTGTTATGGCCAGGTCAAAAATCCCTTACGACGTTTCATTTTTCTCAACCCATCATCAATATAATTTTTTTCTTATGTTCGCCATATTGGATTTTTGCAGTGTTGATTGAACACAAACTTTTAGACATAGTAACCTATGAATTTTCAAATCTGTCACTGACATTTTAATATCTAATGCATTACTGTGTCATTAAAAATCTACTTTACCAATGAAGAAAAACGAGAAACAAAAATGCTAGAAACGGTGTCCTGAGAAACGACAATCTCATCCAACTTTGTTTTAATTGTTGGATAGAAATTTCGCTGATTTTGCGTCGTTTGAAAAATTGAGACAAAAATATGGAGATGAGGAAACGAAAGAAAATTTAGTTAAGGAAAATCCACACGCCAAGTTTACTCAGATGTAGGTCTTTCTTCTCATTCGAGTGCCTGGGGACACCTAAAAAAGAGTGGTACAAAATTAATATCTCCCAAAATTACGTCCAGGTGATCCCGCAAGGTTATTACAATTTTGTAATTGGCTACAAAAGAGGCACTTTTAAAAATTGTGGAATATTCATTCGAAACAGGAATTTATAAAGACAAAATTTTGGGTCCTCATTTTTTTAACGGCACTCTTAATGGAGAATCGTATTATCAGTTTTTGACGTCAACGCTTGAATATTTGGATGATTTGCCTTTGATCCACTGCAACAGCATGTGGTTTCAGCAAGATGGCGCCCCGCCTCACATTACAATACAGGTATCTGATTATCTTTCAACAATGGTAACAGATGGATCTGGAATTATGGACCAGTGAGATGACCAGCCAGGTCTCCAGATCTCAGTGTCCTTGACATATTTTTATGGGGTACAATAGAATTTACGGTCGGGGTGAATATCAAAATATCGAAAAGCTCCAAATCAACATCATTAGAGAGTTTAAGAGATTACGCAGACGGGAAATACACCGTGCAGTGCATAACATGTAGAGAAGATTAAAACTATGTTTGCAGCATCTTTTGTAATTTATTATTATTATGTAAGTTATTATTGCTAGCTTTGTTAAAATATCCTGAAGCTTATATAATTGAAGCAATAATTTAAACAAAGTTCGACGATTTTGTTGTCTTTTACGATACATGTTCAAAGACATTATCGATGTTTTAACACCGTTTCCATCGTTTTTATAATACAGTTTCACCATATCTCGTTTACTTGATTGGTAAAGTCCATTTTTTCGACACAGTAATGTATTATGCACATTAGTATATGGTCCTCTGATTTTGACCAAAAGGTCTAAAAGCCAATTCTGAAAAGCGAACTTATGGCTGGTACCACAATCACAACAAAATGTATAGGAATTACAAACTACGAAAGTTTAGAAAAAAAAATGCATTACCTTTTTCTGAAAAAAGTGCTCGATCACAGAGAAGAAATGCATTACAGTTATGTCGGGAAATAAATCACGGTGCTCAGTTAATAGTAAATACAGCAGTGGTTGCTGCAAAAGTGAGTGGTGACAAAGATTTGTCGTGTGTTTTGAAAGAGACGAAATGCATTACAGTTATGTCGGGAAATAAATCACGGTGCTCAGTTAATAGTAAATACAGCAGTGGTTGCTGCAAAAGTGAGTGGTGACAAAGATTTGTCGTGTGTTTTGAAAGAGACGAAGTGAAGTCTGACACGTGCATCAAAAATCAAAAAAGTATTATTTGCTACCAAAGAACCGATCAAATACAGCTCTCAATAAGCAATTGCTATCAGACTTGACAACAGATTCACGAAACAACAATACTTGGCTATCCGGTGCAAGATTGTGGACCATCGAATATCATTGTTACTGAGACAACGGCCAAAGTCCCACTGCAAGATGTTCTTAATCAAACCATCCAAAGAATTTTACTTATGCAAGAAGAGGTTTTTCTCAGCGTTTCTAGAAGCCAGATATCAGCTTCGTTAGATATGAGTTTTGGTTTTGATGCAAGCTCAGGACAGGCTCAATACAAACAAAAAATGATTTTGATTTACACTTGATTTTGATTGATGGTATTCTCACCAACACTCGTTCAAGTCAGGTATGCTCAATTTGTGATGCAACACCTGCAAAAATTTTAACTACTAATAATTTTGAAGACCATAACTCTGAATAAGCCCCCTGAATTGCTGGATAACATTTTTTGAGTGCATCGTGCACATTTCTTACAGAATTGAATTAAAACTCTGGCAAGTGAGGGGTTCAGAAAATAAGGCCAAAAAAGCTCATCCAAAAAGGGGTTTGGGCTCGTCTATGCTTGCACGTCGATAAGCCAAAATCCAATGGTTATCGATCTACCAACGACGACAACAGGGCCAGGGAAGCTTTTTCCAATGCTCAATAATTTGCAGAGATAACAGTTATTTCTTACAGTTTGATATATCGTTTCTGGATTATTCTTATCGCACTCAATTGTCAGCTTCCAATAAATTTATCTATGTTTGAGGCTTACTGGTTCGAGACTGGTCACCTTTTCATGGAAACATATCCCTGGTTTCCAATGCCTGACACAATTCACATAATTATTGTACATAGTAAACAAATCATTGAAAACCATGTGTTGCTGATAAGTTTTCTTTGATGAGGAAGCTTCGGAGTCTTGAAATAGGATACAAGCAGAATAGGGAGTTTCATACCAGAATAAGCAGCAGAATTAATAACTTGACTGATTAGTGGAGCAATTGATACCTCAGACCACTTCATATCTTCGTTGTCAGGAAAATCGCAATTAAAAATAAAACAGCTGCCGCCTGAAGTTCAAGATTTATTGAATCCTTATGAATACAGTCTTCATGAGAATAAATTAGAAGATTTAGGTGGGGAGTTGTCGAAAATAGACAATTTTTGGGATTCCTTAGAATTGGATACTTAGAGTTGAACAGTGAACATTTGTGAAATAGGTAAAATTGTAAATACACATATATGTAGTTTTTCTAGTTTTTCTTTTAAAGTTTGTGTTTTTGTGCCCGAATGATTTTTCAAATTCAAGCAATTCAACACAATATTTTATTCTCCAATTTAGTCAAAGGGGAACGCGCACAAGTTATGCTACTAGATGATGCATGCCCTGCTAGATTCACAGATAGGTATCATATTAGTCTATTTTTTCAATCAAGTTCTGTCTCTTAACAGAGGTTTATTCAGAGGAGCACGTGTACCATTCTGGGATACATATGTTGATGCGCCTATCCTTGGACTAACAGTAATAAACACAACACGTTTTTGAAGTTGATTCACAATAAAAAATGTTAATAAATAATTTGGCCAAAATAAGTGTTCTGTAGACTATTATGCTATGGTATGAACGTTTTTATTTAATATTTCGAATTTGACTGAACACATATAACATGTGATACGTCAATAAAGGGGTAATAATACGGGCTATTGAACTCTGCAAAAATAAAGTTGATGATGGTTTGAGAGAAACGAGACGTTGTAAGGGATTTTTGACCTTCCCATAAAATGAAGCCTAAAAAGTTCCAATGAAAATGTATTAACAGATATTTACTAAGTTTTAAAATAAAGTAATTAAAAAATAGAAACCAAAATCTTAGGGTTCGGTTTTTATTTTTTTTAAAGATTTTTCCCCATTTTTCCGGAAGTAACAAAAATAACTTCAATTTCAAAACGGGATATTATTGAGCTCATTGATGCTCAATTTTGCCCTAATTTAAGTCATCCTAATAGTAAGAGTCGAATACCTAAAAGTATGGTAAAGAAAAGAATACAAAAGAAATAAAAAAGTTGAAATTTCATTAACCTTTGTTTTTAAAAGTAATAATAAATGTATTTCACTTTCAAGTGAATATCGGTACATGGGTAGAAACGCAAGCAAATTACTTATTTGCTACATTTTAGATTTGCTTCACTTAATCTAATGATAATAAATATAATGGTTCGAACGTACATAACTCAAAGGAAATATATTTTCTATTCTGAACACTGGATACTGATTGATAGATTTTCGAAGTATAATAATGTTTTTTTATGTGTAGTTTTTAATTTTTTTAATTTTTAGGATTTCTCTTGGTGGTTTCTGTACGCTGCGACCTTCTTCAAAACATTTGTTCTTGGGCTTTTCATATTTTTTTCAAACGCCAGTCCCAGGAAGCATACCGATGTGATTTTCAACCACGATTGGGAATACATTTTGATCATGTGTATTTTTTCTATATGTGGCTCTTATCTGGACAACGTAATTTTGTTGAAACTAATAAGGTAAGCACTCAGTATTCTCGATTCATTTTCACTTTTTTTTTATTGGAAAATTCGTTTAGAATGGTGCCCAAGAATAAACTGGAATTGGCTATTTCGGTGCATATGTTCTTCACGGCTATAATAGATGCAATAACGGCACCACTGGGACTCGTAGTAGTTGAATTGCTTTGATTACAGGCTTTTTGCTACATCAGCAAAATGTTATATTTATACTTATGTAAGTTCCTTGTAAAAATATTACAGTTGCGTTGTTGCAATTCGAATTGTAATTTTAAATAAATTTATTTGTTAAGTTGAAACTTTGTTTTCGTTATTAGGTCCTAAATGAATATGCAAACGTTTACTAATACTTAAATATTTCTAAGGGTGCATAAACAAGCTATTTGTGGCGTATCGTAATATTTAAAATGTATAGAAGTTAAAATTTATTAAAAAAATATTGAAACATATACAGTGTGTCCAAAATAAGAATGACTATCATGGGGATGTTGGAAACCAGAAGAGATACAAAGATTATTAGAAAGAAGTTGAAAAAAAATAAACAAAAACGAATTTTGCCTATTTATTTTCTTCGTGTGTTATTTAAATAGATATAAAAAAATAAAGGGCACTTTCTTCGTGCACACTTTTTGAGCTTTATAAGTACGACGTTGCGTTTAGGCGCCTACATGTATTAAGACATGGACCCGCGTCGATGCACGAGCGGTGATGTTCGTCAGCGAGTAGACAAATTTTCGATGAAAAGACCGACGCACATGTTTTCTGTTCTCGTTTTAATTCAAGCCTGTTCAGACTTGTACGCGCGTACATGCATGCCTGTGTGTAGACAAGTTTTCAATATTGAAAGGCTTTTGCTTTTGCGGCTATAACATTTTTTATAATTTATATAATTTTTTTCTTATTCAAGTTTTTTTTGTGAACATGGCAGATATAAGAAGTTTTACAAAAGAATTTCTCACAGAGTTCATTGAATTGTACAAATCCTATCCCTGTTTATGGAAAATAAAATCCAAAGAATGTATAGATAAAAACAAGAAAAATGAAGCCTACAATGTGTTAATGGTGAAACTTCAAGAAGTACAAAAATGCGTCTAAAGAAATGGTTAAAACCAAAATTAACAGGCTTCGACCTAGTTTCCGAAGAGAAACAAAAAAAAAATGATGGAGTCGAGAAGATTTAACAACATTTATTACTAATCTTTATACACATTACAAGTTTGATTTATATTATACTATAATAGTAATTAGGAATTAATTAACTAATCATTCTTTCCTGCCAATTTACGGCTTCTTCATTATTGAAATAGTTCAGAAATAACTGTCTAACTTCTTGTGCGTTGTTGTTCGCTCTGCTATTGTAACCCCGTTGCAAACTAGTCATTTGATTTGGTTGCAAGACTACTTCAACAGTGACATTTTCAAGATTTTCCCTGTATAAGTTGTTATCAGGTGCATGCACAGAGGCATATCCTCTTCTCAAACAATTATGTAGGGCACAAGATGCCATCACCACTTTGTCGATTGCTTTTAAGTTAATAGATATAGCTATGTGGAATATTCTACAACGAACAGAAAGTATTTTATGCTCTACATCTTGCCGTTGAGAGACGATAATTAAAAATTTTCTTCTCATGATCTAGTTGTCTCTCACTAAATGGTTTTAAGAAATCAGAGCGAACAGCAAATGCTTCATCGTCAATAAAAACAAATGGAAGTGGTTCATTACTATTTATTTGTGTTTTGTGTTTATGTGTGTTTCTTATGTTTAAGTTTTCGAAAAAAGTGGCTGTACGCAATAACTCCTCCGTCAGACATTCGGCCGTTTATACCAAAATCACACATAATGAATTCGTAATTTGAGTTAACCACTGCAACAAGTACAATTTGCCCTCTTATAATGGAAATAATATCAACCACTTCCGGCAGGCGATTTTATATTCACGTGCTTTCCATCTATCGCCCCAAACAGTTTGGAAAGTTGTACCTTCTCTCGAAGTCGTCTGCAATCTTTTTCCACTCATCGGCAGTCGTTGCAGATATAAAACAAAATTATTAAAATATCGGAAAAGTTTCTTTAGCCCATCGACTCTACAAGTGTGATCGGATATTTTTAACAAGATAAAGTACGCCACCAACTTCTTTATTATATTTTATTTATCTTTTTAATTAAGAAACTAAAAATACAAGTTTCCTATCTCTCGAATTATTTTCGTATCTAGCTTTAGTTGAGAAAATTTCAATTCGCCACTGTATTCGGGATGAGTGGTGATAATGGAGAACCCATAGCTGTTCCCGATGTTAGTTCAAAAATTTGACCGTTGAAAGAAATAGCATATTATGCAACAAGTGCGGTGAACGGCATTGCACTCAAGAGTTTATTTGACACGAGCGGAGCGAGTTTTTAATAAACGAGTGAGTTAAAAGGTTCACCGAACGTGTTGCATACTATACTTTTTCTACGACCGTTAGTTTTTGGGTACATTCTCGCAAAACAACACATATTCACTGACATGACCGTCAGAATTGACAAACGTTAAAATTCAAACCGTGGGAAATATCTCCGAAAACATCCGATTGCCCCCATATCCGTGCGGTAAAATCCTGGATGTCCGAAATGACTCGGATTCGTGGGAAACGAAACTGACGTGGTAAAGTGACGCTTCCCGCACGCTAGATCGGTGTGTAATTAGGTATTTTACAGACGGGTGTAGAAAAAATATATTCCAGACAAGCATTGTTCAATTAAGATGAGATGGTTTTTATTCCAGATTTCCAAATTCTAATATATCTGATGTAATGTTAAGAGTTTCAGAAATAGGCACTTTATAAAGAGGATTCTATGTCGAAATTAAGCAGAATATCTGATGGATCTAATGGGATGGTTTTTAGTTGTTGAATGAAATGAACTCTCAGTTTTCCCTGTAAAGGGTTTTAATATAGAAGCTAGATATTTTGTTAGATAATATGTTGGAGAACCACTGGTACTGACAATAGGTCGAAGGGTTTTTAAATCTTAGGGAATCCTTAGAAACGAGGAATTTTTGTGTCGTTAGAGGTGACAGACTTTTTCACGGATTTTGAAGCTTTAATAACAGATTTAAGATTGCGTTCCATAGATGACGTAGGATCTTTTTTAAGTCGACGATAGGATCCTGTAAGAATATATTGAATTTTTTCCTGATATTCACTTGCGTTCATGACCACCGTCGGAATTCCTTTCTCTGCTTTTAGAATTACGATGTCGTGATTAGATTTTAGATACTTTAGAGCAATGCGTTCAGGCTATGGAAAATTAGATTCAGGAATTTTGGATTCTTCAAGTATTTTTGCGATTTCAATTTGAATTTCATTAGCTGTTTGAAATATCAGTTTGTTTAAGTTAGACTCGACATTTAATGCTTTCTTCTTTTGGGATATTAGGTGTGTTAATCAAAGATAAGCTCCGTTTGAGACACCCGGAGCTCATAGCTTTCCACAGACCGGATTTTTTATAGGGGGATATTGCAGAAGTTTTGTTTATCGCCGAATTTTTGAGGCTGAGACTGAGTAAACATTACAACTGGAAAAAGGAAAAATAATAAAAATACAGTACAAAGAAGCTAATTACTCGAACACGTACTCCAAGGAAGTTACTCACATAGGTATCCTGAACAGTACTCTCCGCATGAACCAAAAAACAGTCAACAATCTTACGAAGTATATATATTATAGTATTAATAACACATTTGTCTAAAACAATGTTGAAGTACCTCTTGTATGGGATAGAATTTTGGGCAATGGCAGAGGCATCTACAAGAAAAATGGAGGCGTTAGAAATGTGGTGCTATAGAAGAATAATAACAAAATTCATGGCTTGAAGGATTTTTGAAAACTGTGAAATTCCGAAAGCTTGAATATAATGCTTAAGGAACAATCAATCTGTTAAAACTCACATTGCAAAAGAAGGAAGAAGACAAGAAAGGTGGAGAATATAGTGGCTTCAAAATTTATGAAGAATAAGATCAGAAGAGCTATTCGAAAAAATCTGCAATGGAGAGGTAGCAAATTTTTTTCTATAATCTGTGAAATGTGTTATCTATAGTAGATCGACTTGCTCTGAATCCTCCTTATTCCTCTATTCGTTGTAATCATTTAAACAATATGTCAATTACATCATCCATAGGGTAAATAAAGTTCATTATCTCATTTGTTTCAACCGTTATGAAAAAATAGTAAATACATAAATTGCAAAGGTTGTTAGGATGTGCCATTTAAAATTACTTAAAGGTACACAGGGATCCTCGAAAATGAGCGACGAATTAAACATACATTTTTTAAAATCAAATGCCAAATTTTTAATTTTGTTTTGAATTATTTTTGAAATTTTGAATTCTAGTGTTTGTAAATTAAAATAAAACTAAGGACGGAATTGATTGATATAGTTTATATACTGGCTGATGCCAAAAAAAAAATTTTACCAACAAGACAATATCTTCATTGTTTACTAGAACGGTTTGATGCTAGTGGTTGTATTGAATATTAAAATTGGAAAGTGGTAAACCGGATGGTAACAACGAGCAAAAATTATTGCCAATCTTACTTCAAGTTCAAGATAATCCCCAGGTCAGTAGCCTTCAAGTAGGTAGGTTATATGATACATCCCAATCTACCGTCAATTGCACCACTAGAAAACACAAATATCATCCTTTCCATATGGAACTACACCAAGATCTTCTAAACCGTGATTTTGACCCTTTTTTTTGTCTAAAATAATGTTTTCCGATGAAGCTACATTTTGTAGTAATGGTGCAGTTAAAGGTCAGAACGTGCATTATGATTCAACAGTTAATCCATTCTGGGGGAAGTGCACTTAATGTGTTCCTTTTATTGTGAATTTAAAATTTTGCAGTTATTTTCAATAAAATTGCTAATAACTGTTTGTTGTTTTATCTACAGCTCCAACAAACTGTTGGCCCAGAGTTTTGTCAACTAATATTGTAGCAATAGTATTAGACGAAAAGAAGGACTGGGCTGGACAAGATAAAATAAACCGGGTGTTTCAAATTTCACTCTCACCATTAGGTTCTCGGTAGCGGTAAGAGCGACTTAAATTAGGGCAAAGTTGCGCATAGGTGAGTTCAACAATGTTCCGTTTTGAAATTGAAATTGCTTTTCTTACTTCCGCAAATATGGCTGAGTTTGCTTCGTTTGGAAAACTAACTTTCTATCCAATAATTTAAAGAAAGTTCGATGAGGTCGTCGTCTTTCAGGATACAAGTTCAAATATATTTACGATGACTTGACACCGTTTCTATCGTTTTTATAATAATATTTTACACATCTCATTTTTCTTCGACGGTAAAGTCCATTTTTAACGACATAGTTATAC